AAAAATTTTCTTTTGCCTTTCTGACGGTCCCATGCTTTTTTATTATAAAGTTCTGATTCTATAATTGTAACCGGTGAGCTGAAAAGATCGTAGCTGGCAACACTGGCATTTTTCAAATAGCCCTAATCTTCAAACGTTATGTGTGAAAAAGATCAATTGAAATGTCCCCGTCTCCATGCATATATGGCGCTACTAGAATAAAAAACATATGATTTTTAGTTAGCCCTAATCTTCATAAGGCGCGTGTATAAATTTAACTGTTTTCAGGTGATTAGTTTGTGAGTCATATCAATTTTATGTTTTTATTGAAAGAAAAATCGATAAAAAAGAATTTTTCGCTGATAATATATACATCCGGACACCGGAGCAGGAAAATCAAGCGTCAAGGATTGTTGTGTTAATAACCTTTAAAAAGGAAATGCCAGCAACAGCAACAGCAGTGAAAACGATGTCGAAAATCCATGAATTGGTCATCGAATTGCTTCCGCTTCGTCCGTGTTCTCCAAACCTGGCCCCCAGCTACTATTTTTGATTGTTCTCAGATCTCAAAAGAAYGMTCACTGAAAAGAAGTTTTCGTCGAGCGAGAAGTGATAGCCGAAACTGAGGTCTATTTTGAAGCAACGCGCTAATCTAACCATAAAAATGGTTCCATAAAGTCTAAAGGTTGCTATAATCTCTGTTTCACGCTTGAKGGAAGGAATCTCGCCAAAAATTTGTGTTTTATTATGGTAAGCCGGAGTCTTTTCCATTGATCKATTAAATTTGATAGCTGTCGAACGATTAGCTTATGAGACGTAGCATTTAAAACCAAAAATTTTACTCGGTACGCGACAATGGATGTAACGTGGATCCATTGTTTGATACCAGAATTCAATCGACAGGCAGTCGAATGGACTTTGAGGCTAAAGAGAAATTGTATTTATACCTATGTATACTGCCATGAAATCAAATGTTGTCAAAAAATCTATTTGCGTATTTTTTTTCTGTTTTTTTTTTTGTTCTAGTACTTAAGCTTGACCAAAAATATTCAAAACAATACTCGTTCTGTAAACCGTGACTTGCAATTATATTTCAGCTTAAATTCGTAAATTCTATACTCATAAAGCAAAAATGAAACCGAAATGCAAATCTTTTGGAACAATGCAATTTAATATTTAAGACACTTTAACGATGTGTTGACAACATTGAAAAAAGTGAAAAAGATACGAGKCGACTGCTGAAAAGCTGATAATCCYTGCCTAGTTAAAAAAAAGAATGTTTCTTGCCATAATTTTCAGATTATTTCTTAACAGACTTGGATGTACATATATGAATTTCAATATGTCATAGACCAAGATATTCAATAGCTGAACTGATATGTATATAYATGTACATAYTTTGAAAAAAATATTTCTRCACAYGTTCATTATAAATCTTCACCTAACAATAAGTGTCACAATTACATTTGATAGCAATAACGCATTTGACAAGCAGACTTCCCGCCAAACTACTTACGGAGCCCACTAAACGCGCCGTAAAAGGTGGATTTAGGATCAGTAAATACTCTTGTACATGCATGCATTGACAAAATGACAAAAGTGTATTTATATTTGAGGAGGGAAAGTACAAAAACCCAGTTGAGGGTTGCACTTACCGCACAGCTTCAGGTGTTTTAGATCCTGCACCTAGCTCGGATACAGACTGCAGGCAGAAATATACGAGATATTATACTGTAGGACATGTACATAATGTAAAATAWTAATATCACCAACACAGATGCAATTAATCGATAATAGGAAAAACAGATAATGCCTGCTGAGATCTGAGATCTCAGTCAACGCACCATCTTACCTAGAATGCATTGTCTCCCTAGTCTTGCGGCACAGGTGAGGCTGTCGGTGCGCGCCTGGCACGAAGCAACACAAAGCAATCTGTAACTGATAATAAAAAAATAACAACAAAATTCCACAACTAGCAGCTAGCAGAAAAAAGGGCACGACTTCGTGAGCGTGGGAATGTGCTTCCTTGGAATTATGTGGATTACTTGCGCCAATTGAGGGATGTGCCATGGCCGAGCCACAGCAGCAACAATGCCATATGCGTAAAATCCATCAACGTGCTGACAATGCACGCATTCGAGCAAAAACAGAAACGAAATRTTGAAAAAAATTAGAAAACTAGGAGCACAAAGGCGCAGATTGGCAGCRTCTAGTGTGAGCAGTAAATAGGGAATGCAAGTGTTGTTGTGCTGAGGCACAGTCCAGTGCAGGCGGGTATGTGCTTAGGACAATGAAATCAGAGAGCTGACAAGTTGATAGCACGCACAGACTGTCAGAAGTGGTGGGGAAAAAAGGCGCACAACCCCGAATGTGTGCCAATAAAATCGAAAAATCTGTAGAAGTGAGAAAATGGCAAATGAGAAGGCAAGCAAACGAGTGGGTTGAACGAGAAAAAACTGAGACATTGAGCACCAGCAGCGACAGCCCAAACAATTGCCCCTAGGAAATCTACATAATTGTGTGCGAATGAGTTTCGCTGAGGAACATGCTTGTAGCGACAGCAAGCCAGCGCACAACAACAGAATACAAAAACAAAAACAGTGGTATTACAATATAGTGCCAAAGTGCAGTGGCAACAACAAGTGTGCTACAAAAGGCAATTCGATTTTGCGTTGGCGCGCCTAGCAACAGGATCAGCAGCAAGGGATGTAAGCAGCAAAAATAACAACAGCACTAATAATGCACTGAAACACCACCAAGCAAAAAATATCTAAAAAAATGTGTATGAAATATAAGGAAATCGCATTATGCGTGGCAGACATATCAAATCAACGCTCATCTCGTCTCCAAGCATACGAAATTGCACTGTGCATTTAGCGATCTTTTCCACCGACTGCACTTTATGCGCTGCACATGCTTTGTGGCATTAGTTTACAATACAGTGCTGTTGTTGTTGCTGCTGTTTTATGCACTGTGCGTTGAGGATCAATTATCGTTTTGGTTTGCACTAACAGCACGCATATAAATTTCATTTTCTTCTGCTTTTCTTTATATGTACGAGTATGTCTTTCAGTGTGTTTCAGTCTTTGTTGTTTTTTTTTTTTTTTGTATGTGTGTATCCTTTAAAAATCATTCGCCTGAACGGTTATCTCGTTTTTAATCGGATCGTTTGGCTTGACGGGCGCACGGACACATATTTACGGTTATATTGTTTGMGGCAAGTTATAGCCGCAGGTGTACGTTGAATGTGTTATAAGAAGTATTTTTGAAAGTAAGTCCCATATTTGATCACATACCCTGTAGGAATAAACGAAGTGTTTGTCCTTTCATCAAATTGTGCTTGTGTTCAAYATATGTAAGTAGTAGAAACGGTTTGTTTTGGAGAAGCCGATAAATTTATTGATATTTAAATATMTATATTTTTTTATAGAAGTAAACGAACTTAAGGGCGTATTGCAGTATAGAAATAAAAATAGATTTTCTTCTATATTTTCAAAGTCTCTGCGTGTTCTGAGGCTATTCTGCAGGTTTTTCACAAGTCTTAGTTCCTAGGTTTTCCTATCAGTTTTCCTCATTTTCGCGGAAAGATTTTCGAAGGCACATGTCTGGATAGAATTTTTGAGTCCCTAATCGAGATTTGTTGCGAACGTTTGCTATGTATATCGGTCAATCTCAGCAATATTTGCATACTTATTTTTGGTTTTAACCCCCAACCGTGCGTTGAGTTTGCAAAGTGCGGTCCGGCTAAGTCCAGCTTTTTCTACTTGCTGCCCTACACATACACAAACCATTTTTTGAAAATTTCATACTATTTTCGGAGATGTAGGGCTTTTACTGAACCGTTCTCTAAACTAGTTCAGCTTTAAGCGAAATATGCGTTTTTCTCGAAACTTTTCAAAACGCTGCACAAGATTTTTCCACTTCAGCAGATTTTTTTTTTTTTTTTTGTGTAAATGAAATACTTATGTATTTGAAATGGGAAGGTAAAAAAAAACGATATATGCAAAGTATGGACCATTAGTTTTGACACATTTTGAACGCCTTTCTGGGAATTTTTGGATATCATGCCAATAAAAATATTCCTCTTTTAAATCAAACCAATCAGATATAAAAATGTTGACTTATGCTTAGAAACCAATGTGCTGTTCAGCCAATACTTGTCTCACCGGTGATAAAAAAAAACAACAAATGACAATCGGAAGGAGCCAAGTCTGGGGAATATGAGAATATTTTGTATAGCTTCCTTACAACTAAATTTCACGGACAGAAAAATTAAAAAAAAAAAATTATAAATAAATAAAATATAATTCTCACAAAAATTTCCTATATTGCAATTTTTAAGATATATGTATGTATACGCCTTTGTAATCATATAATCACATATATATGTATACATATATATCTATATTTAGAAAAATATCCTATGTTTGAAAAAAAATTTAAAAAATAAAATTCTCATGAAAATTTTTTACAGGGTATGTTCACTGACATACATACTTTTATAATCATATTTCTTTTTGTTTCGTTTTAATATAATTTTTTGCCCAATTAGGCAGCGATGCGTGAAGGTTTAGCTCTTTAGCAATTTAAAAGACAAGTGTGTTCTTTTTAAGGTTTTAGGGACCTCTATTCAATTAAAAATTTATATTTATATATATTTACAAATATGTATGTACATAAATATACAAATATATATACATATATACATTTCTTTATTGAATATATGTTCTTAAAAAGTGCACACTTGCTAAATAGATATGTATATATATGTATATATGTATATATTTAGTTCCAAGTCACGCACTTGTAATTTGTGCCTCCACCGTGATTATCCTTTTGGTGTTAGCACTGTTTTTGCTTTCTGCTAAGCAATTTATTGTGATTTAAGGTTATGTGTTAGCGTTACGCTTTGTCTGTAGTACTGTTGAACACAAAATAGATTCAAAAATAATAAAAATAATCTTATTGGAATGTTCGGATTTTGTTTTGGTACTTTTTATTACATTTTTACATAGCCTTACCTTTTCGTTTCTTCTACAAACTGCTCAACTCGCCAGACATGTTTCAATATCTCGATTTTGGTTCGTTTCGATTTAAGGTTTGGTATACCTGTGCGACCTTTTTGGTGAATTTTTGTGATTTTCCAGGGTTTCTACATTTTTTGAAAAAAAAAAAAAAATTTGTTATCGATTTCAAAACCTTTCTTAATATTTATGACATCAGTATTGTGTAGGTATGATTTATTATAATTTGGGAGACTTTTATGATTTATTTACTGCATAACTACAAATATACATATGTACATATTTGTTTATGTACAAAAGCCCTTGGAAACTGGTTTCCTCGGGTAAAAACAGCTTTTTTCAAAAATAAAATTTTTCTCGCATAAAAAATGAAATATTTTATTAGAATGTTTTTATTGTTACATACACTGTTAACAAAGAAGTTTTTTTTTTGGAAAAAAATATGTTAAGCCAGTTCCAGTGACCCCTCGGAAAAAAATTATGCCACAAGTAACTCTACAGGATCGTCTAAAGTAAGAAAAAAGTACGTATTTTAGTTAAAACCTTAACTTAGAACCTGGACGAAGAAAAAAAAAAACGGAAAGTTGGATTTTTGACAGACATTACAAAAAAAAAAGAAAAATTTCAGTGAAATTACGTGATTTTTTTTTTTTCAAATACTTGTAATCGAAAATAAAATCCTTCATCTAAGTCATTAACAATTGTATCGGCTAAGACCTGTGTAAAATTTCGTGCAGATCGCTTGAGTAGTTCTCGAGAAATCGTGAAAGCCGACTTCAAAAACACAGCTTCGGGCGCATAAGTTCTCAAGGCTGTATTCCCGAAACTATTACTCGCATCAACTTACAAAATACAAAATTTAGGATAATATTCTAAAGGTGTTGTAGAATTTAATAAGACAATAAAAAAATTCGGTTATTTGAAGCGGGTAACCCGTTTAACTGTTACCCCTCAAAGTACGTGTGGATTTTTTATATTTCAAAAATTATATTCGCGATTAGAGTTTATAGATTGAGATTTACGTCGAAAAATCAAACTTGAGCTAGATTTTGAAATATTATTTACTAAAAAATATTTTTTGAAATTCTTGTTTATGTTTGGGTTTTGATATTTCCAAAATTTTATGCTTGATTACAGTTTAGGTCTCAGTCCCTAAGACGACTAACAATCTTATTAAAGCAAGATTTTCAAATAGAAATTACTTAAAAATATTTTTAAACTTTTTAGGTAAGTTTTTGAAAAAGCAAGTTAAGTGCGTCGATGTCTAAAACATCACTCGACCATATTTATAAAGTGGTTTCTGCTTTTGATTCCTTATTCTTCTGATTTATACATACATACAATAGTAAATAAATACCCTACTTACCTACAAATCATCTACACTTTAACCCAAATGAAAATAACTTAAAGCAATCAACATTATCCAATAATTCAAGCAAATGCATCAGTCGACGCTCGCACCTACTCTCGTCTATGAGCAGTTTTCATGCCGCGTCATGCTGCTTATAAACGACCCAAACACCGACTAGACGTGGCACACCCTAGGTAGGTTGCCACCGCGCTGACAGTGACACGGCCACTAAGAATAGTGACGACAACTCAGCCGAACACACCTACATATATATGTATATGTAGTTGAAGATGTGTGGCGACTATGACGACGTGACTCCAAATAAATTAGGAGCTATTTTTTGTGTTTCATAATTATAAAAAGAAAAATTCACTAAAAGGTATGGGTCAGTTGTGGTGCCTTTCTACCTACGACAGACAACATTTACGTTTCTTCTACACAACTCGTTAAGCGTTTATTCTTTTTTTTTTTTTTGCCTTGCATTGTTTTTGGCTGTCTGCTTGTCTGTGCGTCAGCTCTAATTGCAGCCAGTCCGACGCTGTGGTCTGTGGTCGAACCTGCCGAAATGCACGTCATCCATGTACTAWATTTCGAGTGCGTGCACTACGCAGCGCTCAGAAGGCTTCTCGGTGGCTCTGCTGAGCCCTGCTTTCCGCACCAAAKGTACTTTGTAGCAGTGTGTTAAAGAAAATAAGCTCTTATCATGGCACTTAAGTGAGTAATTGAGGCGTAACGAATTCATTTGGAGCACTAATTGTATGGCGGAGAGCGGCTACTAGATTGGCGGTACCGAGTTGAGTGCACTGTGTACACAATTTCATCAAAAAACAAATCAGGTGGCTTCAACTGGCCGCATTTGCATAGCTATAAAAGTACTTTGTGCGCAATTTGTATCCTTCGAGTCTCGAACTCCAAACAGCAGATCCACTTCGTAAATTGCAAAAACTCGCTCACCCATTTCGGTGGCAATAAACACTCACAGCRCTAAACCTATTTTTAGCGCTTATTATGAGCTCACGTGCATTATGTGTTGAAAGCGCCATTGACGCTGCCAAAGTGTAGCGTCGCTGCTGCCTTTCAAACTCATAAATTTTAGACAATATTTTGCGGTTACCTTGCCATATCCGATGACTATACTCATATAACATTTTCTACGTGTTTGTGGTTTTTTTTTTGTTTTTTTTTTTTTTTTTTTTTTTTTTTTTTTTTTTTTTTTTTTTTTTTTTTTTTTTTTTTTTTTTTTTTTTTTTTGGGCTGAAACCTTCGTGCCACTGGAAATATGACTCCGTCTGCGGCGGCACATCACCATTTGGCATTATGACCAACTCTATTATCGTTAACACGCTAACAGCGTCAACCCATATATAATATATACTACTTTGCATACGTACATGTGTATGTATGTATGTATGTATGTATGTGTTACTACTTTATAACGTGATTTCACGTTGTAAATATCGCTGGCCACAAGTTTAAATCAAAAGCGTACAAAAAAAGTTTTGGAAATTTACGCGCCATCGTCACGACATCGAACCGCCAGCCAAAGCACTGCCAACCACATACTTACATATGTATGTATGTGCGCTTGTATGTTTGCGCAAATAAATAAACTATAAGTATGTAGAACATGCTGACCAACTTTCAACAACTAAAAGGTGTACCCATTTCAGCTAATATTTATGGCTTAAAATGTCAGCCGGTGCGGTTTATACGACACTTTTCTGGCATCAAGCGACTTTATGTGCGCGTTCGATTGTGCTCAGTGTATGCATATACATTTAATGTAGTTTTTTTTTCCTATTGGCATAATCATAGAGCGGTATTTATGTGTGTGTCATGCCATGTCGTAGTTTTTATGCAAAACGGAAGTACTTGCAGTGATTGCTCCTTGAGAAACTTGAACATGCTTTGGCTCGAGCAAATTACAATTTATGTTAGTGATATTTTCGTACTTCACAACACAGAAGTCAAACTTCAATTTTATTTTATTATAAGTAGCTAATCCAAGTGGAGTCACCGCTACTTATATTATATATATAATAAAAATAAGCTCCAATTCAGTCGGCAGGGAGGTCTGCTTAGTTTAAAGTGCGTTGCGAAGAGATTAGAAGTAAAAACACATTTATGGAAGCTAAGTGTGAATTCGTTTAATTTCATTGAATTGTTTATTATATTGTTCCAAAGGTGCCTTCAAAGTCGATCGTCCGGAAATCTAAAAGATTGTCGCGCTCCTGCCCTCTTCAGACAGACGACCGATTGTTGACGGCTTTCGATCGCCCGTATTCCAAATCGATCATGGTGAACTTTAGATGACCGTTGGGCTCTTGGTGGCGCTAGGTGGATGATTGTTAGTGCTTATAGGATGCGTATAGCATCTACTACGTGATGTGATTATATTAATTCATCTAGTAGCCGGTATGCACAACCATATATCTGCATTAGAAATCGATCATGGTGTACTTTGTCGCGCTCCTGGATTCGATAGGCAGATAACTGTTGGTACTTACAGAAGCACAAAGCTTCTACTAGGTGACTCAAAAAACTTAATTCACTTAGTAGATGTTCCCGGTAGCTAAAGGTTGCCAAAGCATTAACAAACATATGCGCGCCTCCAAATCGATCATGGTGAACTAGAGGATTGTCGCGCTTCTGGTATCGCTAGGCGAATAATTGATGCTGCTTATCGAAGCACAAAGTATCTACTATGCGATTTAATGACATCCATATCACTTGGTAGGTAGTTACCGGTCACTAAAGGYCACCAAAGTATGAACAATCATATGCGTGCCTCTAAATCGATCTTATTTAACTCTAGAGAATAGTCGAGCTGCTACTACTGCTAGATGGGTGATTGATGCTGCTTATGGAAGCGAATAGCATCTACTTTGCTATCCAATTCGACTGATGCACCGAATAGATGGTTACCGGTGACTAGAGGTGCGCAAAGTACAAAAATCCATATGCGAAACCCGGTCATACTAATCTCTAAAAGAAATCACACATTTCTGGTGGCACTATGTGGCTAATTAATGATGCTTATGGAAGAATATGGCATCTACGTGGCGTTTCAATTCCGTCTCAACCATTCAGCAAACGGTTTCCAGTCGGTAGAGTACAAGAGCGTTTGTCGAGTCCATCCAGCTATCTCCGTTTTTCCAATTATACTGGTCTCTCAGTTTTGGAGCTGTCGATCTGAAATTTTGCATACGTTCTTTACTCCCTACGAAGCTGCTCATTTGTCGAAACCGTCGATTTTGAAACACTATAGCATATAGCGGKCATACAAACTCTACGATCGAAATCATGTTCTTGTATGAAAAACTTTTTTATTTGAAAATATATCTTCCCAAACTATAATTTTTATTTATTTCGCACATAAATCTGACTTATATTTAAAAGTTTTTAGCTTAATTTCACAGTGAAAATATGAAGCTAACCGCTTTGTACGGTTAAGACTCTGTCGGCGCTTTACGGTWCAGCGTGCCGATATTGTATAAAAGAAATATAAACATTTTCTACGCACCACTTTTCTGSTGCAAAAACTCGCACACAAAATTGCAAAATGTGTGAAAAATGCTGCATTTTACGAGCGTTTTTTAYGATCTTCCTGTCGACTTTTTTGCATTGCACCACCATGTTGCATGCACCGTTAGTGTGACAGTGCGTTTATGGCCAGACAATTGTGAAAAAATGAATCATTGCAAACGGCAATAAAAATAAATGCAACGACCAGCCAGTGAAAACACAGTGCAGTTCAGCGACTTTTTCTCACCATAAGCGACAAAGGAAGCGCGCTTCGATTGCTTTTTTGTTTAACTGCGCGCATTTTGACACAACTGCGACACATTAAGCTATGCCATTGCCATTCAACTGACAGCTGTCAATTTCAACGCGCAYACCTACACTAGCAACAAGAAAAAATTGGAAGTTTTTTTTATAAAAGCAAAGAAAATCAGCTTAGCGCTGTAAGCTTTGGAAAGCTCCCTCTTGAACTGTTGAGTTTTAGTGAGGCCAATAAAATTTACGAATTTCACCCTAAAATAAAATTTTTTTTTATAAATATAAATAATAGATATCGATATATCCGATAGCTGCCATACAAACTGA